AGTGTTGAAACAGGAGCCACACAACTGATTGCACAATTTGGTTGTGTAATGCTGGCTGTGTGGACAGAACACCCAGCAACACTTCCTTTGATGTAACCTTACATTATGTCAGAACATACAAGATTTCAGCCACCAATTAATCTCTCTCCCTCATCTACCAGTTTTGTTTGTTCTAAGCTTTACATTTCCCTTTTGGAAGTCTGTGGCATCAGGATTTAGATACTGTACTAAGCTGTTTTTTAAATTTTTATTTTCTTGATTTCCATCCAGTGCTAGAGATCTCAATGGAAGGATGTTCATCCGTGTGGTTCTGAAGATAAGCGTCTATCCTGAAGCTCCATCTGGGTGAAGAACCAACATTTGCTATAAATTTCCAGAGCTCTAAAGGAAAAAGAGAATGTATTACTCCTTGTGTATCACTTTGGCTTATCCCTCAAATAAACTGCTAGCTTAATTTTTTTTTCATCTTTCAATTTTAATGAGAGGAAGCAAACAGGAACAACAGTAGACGTTGACAAGGAAGGCATTGTGTTAAAAAAGAATATCTATTTATTGGAGTATTGCATGGCCATTACAGTGAAATTTACAGACATTCCAGTCGGTACACATGTGCAATAATCCTTTGGCTACTGCGTTTGAAGCAAAAAGTGCAATATTTTCTTTATGCTTTAGACCATTTGGAAAGCTAGAGCAGAAATAAAACATGGTTTCTGCGAAGACACCAAAGTACGTCTACTAACATACAAGATTTCAGCCACTGATTAATCTCTCTCTTCTCCATCTACCACTTTTGTTTGTTTTAAGCTTTACATTTCCCTTTTGGAGGTCTGTGGCATCAGGATTTAGATACTAAGTTGATTTTTTAAATTTTTATTTCCTTGATTTCCATCCAGTGCTAGAGATCTCAATGGAAGGGTGTTCATCCGTGTGGTTTTGAAAGTAAGAGTCTATCTTGAAGCTCCATCTGGGTGAAGAACCGACATTTGCTCTAACTTTCCAGAGCTCGGAAGGCAAAAGAGACACACAACAATAGATATATGGAGGGAAAAAACCTTTATGTAGCAGCAAAGGTTTACGAGAATATTTCTAATCAAGAGTCACAAGTTACATATTGGAAGGTAATGAAGTGAGAAGCAAAAACATTACAATCATGAGGAAAATCAACACAGAAAAAAGAATGCTGGATAACCAAACAATGGATCTGAGAACGTTCGCTGTGTCAGTCAGTGCAGCTTGGTCCAGAACGATCAGTGCAATGCAATAAAATACATTATTTTTATTCAACTTATTTCAACAGATGACAGAAAAAAAGGTAGGAGAAGACAATGGTCTGACCTCAATAAGGTAAAGTAAAATTGTTACTAGGCGAACTTTACCCAGAGTTGGGGAGCTTCATAAAATACAAAATATTATCGATCTTAAGGCTGATGATATGCAACGTTTTGATAAACAATCCCTCAGAACCTTAGCTGTTGAACAGCCACCACATTCTCTAACTTAAATGTCTGCTCAAACACGCTGCCTTTTGCCGCCAAGGGGAAATGAATAGCTACGGTTGTGTTATACATTTGGTTAGCACTGAAAATACCAGCCAGCTATTTGCGCGTTTTGATAAACTACCCCTCAGGACCTTAGCTGTTGAAGTGTCACCACATTCTCTAACTTGAATTTCTGCTCTAACACGCTGCCTTTTGCTGCTAAGGAGAAATGATTAGCTGCAGTTGTGTTATACCTTTGATTAGCACTGAAAATACCAGCCAGCTATTTGCTACTATGCAGCTGACTGACAGCAGAGCAAATTCTTTTCTTTCGCTGTCTTGGAAAGTGTTGGAAAACTCAAGTGTTTAATTCTGAGGGCGGCTTGTGATCCGGCGTGAGGCACCTCCTGCCAATGAACCACCTCCGTCCTTGCCCCAAAAGCAGCTAAGGGGGCCTTGTCACACCCATAATAAACATTAATGCTTTAACATTGTTGAAAATGAAAATAATGCCACCTTGGAAAGTAAAACAGTACAACACAGGATCAGCCGCTTGTGGTTGGAGAAGGAGTGTATCCGAAGACCTGCTTAGATCATGGACTACTGATACAACATAGAATATCCACTCAAATATCCCCTCAACAGTCAAATACTTTTATCAACATGCCTAAAACAGAATAATTGTTCTTTTGCTAATTAAGTGACAGTAGTCCCATTCATGTAGCAACATACAAACATGGAAAAAAATTCGTAGAAGTAGCGGTTGTGTTACTGTGGAGACACTTGTGACTCCAGTTGGTTTGAGGGCTTCAGCTTACTACCAACTATTACTTGGTACACCTAAAAATATTTGTAACTATGCTACAGTACATTCCTTTCATTGTAACTTTTATTAGTAACTACATACAGCATTACTTGTGAGGTCATGAAGTTACATGAAGCAACATTTTACTGCAAAGCTTTGGGTCTTCTGGAATTTAATACAATGATATAACAAGGAGATTACTTTGGATCTTTGACAGATTTTTAGTCATTTGGGAATTCCTGTTCATATTCAAGTTTTCCTCAGCTTGACAGTTGTACAGAGGAGTTATTTGCTTTTCTATCTACACATGAACTGGTGCAATTTTCCATAGTGTCTTCTTATTTTGTTGAAATATGCTCTTTTATTCAGTTCCTTTGTCTTCGCAACCTTCTATTTGTGGGTCCATAGTAAGCAAGTTAATATTTGTGGCCTTCGGGATGAGGTTCAGGGTGTAGAAACTGAGGTGATTTTCTTCAGAGATTTGCCAGTGCAAATGGTGGCGCATGAACGTTAATGCTTGCTGTCATTAATCCTTTGTTGTGTCTTTCCTTCTGAGTTATGGAAAATGCTAACAGACAGATATTACAGGGGAGAAATTGTAGAGAAATTTGAAATGGAAAGAAAATGTGGGTCTCCATTCTACGTATACTTCATTGTGGGGAACAAATGACGGTTATTTTACCTGTGGAAACAGAATGGGTGGGGGAAGAAGGAAGGAAGAGATGAAACCACTCAACCATATTTAACGGAGGGAACTGGATTGAATTTAATAGAACATCTCTAAGGCATCAGATTCACTATTATTGGAGAAAAACCAAGCTAGATGACCTACAGGTTTTGTGAAAATGACTACACAGTTGCAACAGATAGACAGTGGGTGAACAAACAGATACTAGGGCTGTGGACTGAGTTTGGCCAAAGCTTGAATCATTAACACAACCAGCATAATTCAGGCCAGTTGGTATGAGATCCAGATTCAAATGGATCCAGATTTCATTCCTGAGCAAAAGGAAGCAAATTTGCAATCAATTTGGATATGGAACTGAAACAAAATTGGTTTGGATCACAGAGGCTTGTTTCCTCCTACCTCCCCTGCCAAAATGTGCTTAAAAGATTCCTAGTACATAATGCCTGAATCTAGCTGTCTGCACTTTGGCCATTTTACTTCCTTCTTCAGAGTCTATTATATCTCCCCATTTAATTGGCATCAGTTAAAACAAGCAAGAAAAAAAAAAGAAGTTATAGAAGTTTTAGTAAGTGCAGCATCAACCTGGTGGCGCACAATTCGTCTTCTTCTATACACGGATGCAATATTGAAGGCGGTTACAATGACTTTTATGATAAGGAGGACATTTCCTCACACTCTTGTTAGAGTTTTTGCAATCTTGCATGCTGCTTTTTGTAGGTTTGGCTGGGAGGGACATTTGTGGGCTGGAGTGACTGTCAATCTATCCAGCACTAACCAATAGCTCCCTCTTGCCTTGGGATTCCAAGAGAGCCCCGCCTCTCTGCTCAGAGCCTTTCCCCCTCACTGAAGTCTGTTGAGGTCTGTTGCTAAAAGCCACGGTGTAACACACGAGAGGGAAACGCAAGCTAAGCTTGGTTCCCTCCTCACATTACCTTGAGGAAAGTGACAAGGCCAGCATATGAGAGTGCGGCAACAAAGAGGACCATAAACGTGGAGACTTTATTCCAGACGGTGTTGGCTTCCTCCAGTTCACTGCCCTCATCTGGGTTTTCATTGTGAAGGTCGCGCAAGGCTACGCCCATGAGGGTGCAGTCCCAGGGATCTGCCAAATGACAGCAAACGATCAGGTTAATCTATGGAGATGAAAGGGATGGGAAGCACCCCCTCAAAAGCTAAAAAGAGCACGCAGTGCCAATGCAAGAAGAGAACAAATTCTGAAGGGGGGGGGAAAGGAAGAACAACAGCCCAAGGAAAAATTGTTGTGGCACCTTAGAAGGCTAACAGATTTGCTTCGATGTGGGCTTTCGTGGACCAAAATCCACTTCCTCAGGCAACCTCAGCTTCTGATCCACGAATGCTGACACTGAAGCAAAACATTTAGTCTTTAAAATGTTGCAACACTTTCATCCTTTGCTCCTCTCCTCTCTTCTCTCCTCACCCCAGCCTTATTAATCCTATTAACTTGCTGAAAGAGACTCAACATGGCTGCCTCTCTGGAACATCAGAAGTAGAGAGACCCTCAGGGCTCTTATCTATTTCTGAGTGGTTATTAGAGTCTTATTAAAGTCCCCAGGACAGGTCCCTTTGAGGACGTCTTTGTGAAGGCTTGCTTAAGCGGCATGTGTTCTGAGACTCTTCTCAGCGTGACTCCTAAACCACAGAATCTCCTTCCCTTAGTGTATATGGTCCTCTCTTCATCCACTTTTGGGAAAGCAGTGTTGGCCACTGAGGTTGTTATTAGTACTCGGGGAAAGCAAGATGTATTCTTTTATGTTGGCCACTGAGGTTGTTATTAGTACTCCATTACTAAAAATAATGATCATGTGTCTTCAAGTCAATACTGACTTATGGACTGGACTTACAGAAACACAGTATAAAGATACTAAGAGAAATACATGTCTAGTTAATATGAATTTATTTATAGCCTCTTTATATTGTCTAATGACCAAATGCACATAGATTGAATTAGAACTATGTTCCATTATGATTGCTCATGGAGCTTATGGGCTGATCAGGGGACATTCCGTGACCGGGCAGGTGGTGTGGATATGGGATACATAGAGTTGGGTTCCATAGGGAGATGGTGAGCTCCCAGAGGGTGCTTTGGATCTTGTCTGTGGAGGGGATCACCTTTGAGGTCAACCAGAGTCACAACTGACTTGGGATTTGGGTCAGAGATGGCTGGTGGAAGGTCTCCTCGGATGAGCAGGTAGGGATATGAACAGATGGGGATTCGAGTTGCTGGACTCGCTCTCAAGTCGACTTAACCTGCAACGGCAACTTGACTCAGACTTGACTTGGGTATTTTTTCAATGACTTGGACTCAACTCTCAACTTGAAAACCACCCATTCCTGGTGGTGGTGGGGGAAGAAAGCTTGTTTTCAATTGGGACTCAGACTTGGACTTGAGATGCGGACCCAAAGACTTGCCAGCATCCCTGGAGGTATGGATGTCCCCTACAGAACCCCCTTGGGGCTGGACCTCCCCTTGTAGGCTGGGAGAGAGGGGTGAACATGCCCTGACCTCATAGCCTACAGTTTGCACTATAAGGGGACCCCACTGAGGGATGGTTTCTCAAGTTTAATAAGGTGAAATAAAGCTGTGTCCCAGTTTTACCCCATCATAAGTTATCTCATCCCTTTATTTCCTGGTCAGGGAACAACCAAAATACATCCAGTATAAAAGCTATCTCGTGAGCATACAGATCATTAAAGTGGTGTATGAAAGAATAAAACGAACAATCAAAACATTGAAATTTAATAATAAACCAGAATTAAAAATCACCATTTGGGCAAAATTTATTTTGGGATATGCTGATCTCAACAAAGCCGGCACTCTCCTTTTTTGGAATCACATCCAGTTGAATTGCAGAACTTTTTGACCAAAAGCTTATTAATTTGGTTATTTGGTCGGTGACACAGGAGTCATCCAAAAAAGAAAGAGAGAAATGTCTCATTGCTTAATACTTTAATATAAAATGGTAGTGTACAGTAGAAGGATTAAGGTAGAAGAGAGATCAATGAAAATTTTAGAGCAACGGAGAGGCCAAATCAGGAAAGAAAAGGATGGGCTTATCCTTGCAGTGAGGTGGATATATTAGTCAAGGTGAGTTTTACCGGAAAGAGAATGGACTCTTCTAGTTATGATGTTTTCGGAGGAGATGTGGGCTACCAGGCAGGTGTAGGACATTCCCGTCATCCAGTGGCTTGTGGGAACTTCGAGGATGCTCATTAAGGAGCATCTTTGTTGTTCATGATTGCATTTCAGGTCTTTGACATCATAACCTTTCAAGGACAGCTCTTGGTTCTCCTCCTCCCACTTGAGAAAGATCTCTCCTGGGTAGAAGTCTTTGGCCATGCACAGGAGGGTGACATTTAGGTCTTCATTGGACGAGTAGTGCTGGAGCGAGACCTTTGGGGGCCGCATAATACCTGTGTTAGAAAAGGTAGACAAATGATTATAGGTTATCTGGAAGTCGAGTCATGGCAACTGGACTTCTTTCTTATTAGGTTGAAAATGTTTCATCCCAGTAGCTCCTTCTGTCATGGGTTATTATAACAATCTTGTGTTGGAGTCTATGGCCACATCAATACCATAATTTTATACTACTTTGAGAATGATGCTGTCTTTTCTTGGAATGCTTGGAATGTACTACATGGGTGGATGGTGTCATGTTGGACTGTGTGTGTGTCTCAGGGGCGAGGTTCCCTCCAAACCAGGGGTCCCCAACCCCTGGTCTGTGGCCCAGTGCCGGTCCACAAGCATGACATGCCCACTTGTGAGTGTGACACACCCCTCTGCAAGCATGACACACCACTCCACGAGAGCAAAATGCCCACCTGCAAGTGTGACCTGCCCCCTGTGCATGGAGCCCACAGCCCCCCACCCGGACCGCGGTTCCAAAAAGATTGGGGACCACTGCTCTAAACCATAGACTCCGTCTCTCTTCGTGCAGCCTTTTCCCTCCTCCATGCAGCAATTGTTTTAAATCCATTTGGTTCTGGTTGCAATTGAACCCTTTGCACGGGAGGTGGAGTCTTGTGCATAAGACTCCAACCCACTCAGGGGGGCTGAAAATTGGAGGGTACGTTGCTTGGGGGGGTTTAGAATTATGTAGCATTATAGATCTGATAACTTTGTGTGGAAATCCTGAGAATCAAATAAATTAATTGTGGCAATAGAGCCAAAGGCTGCGATCACACTGGCGATAAGAACCACAGTTAAGTGTCATTTAAATCGATTTAAATTTTATTGTTCACATAACGCAAGGTTGAAATTGAATTATATGGGTTGTGAAGCAATTTTTTCCCCCCACTGGCTAGCTTTTTAAAATACTTTACTTCTAAAATTGATTCAATTCAATGTGGTTTTGTGTAGATGAATCGATTTCAGCAGGGTAGATGCCGAAACCATTTAAAATCATCTGAACTAAGCTGATTTCCATTCAGTGCATGGGAAGGTGGACACTGGTGTAAATATCACGTGATTTGAACCTGATTTTTAAAAAGTTTGAACCAAAACTGATTCAAATTGCCAGTGTGACTACAGCCTAGGATTGGTCATTGTGATCGATGGGCAGAAGAGACTCACGTCAGACTTTCATACTCTTGTGCGCACTTAACTTCACATTTATGTGACAAAAAGTTACAGCTTGCTTAGCTTCTAAACCGGCATTAGGCGACTAGCTGAAGGATCATCATGAGTATGAACAGCCAGCTGTTCAACCCCACTGCCGATTACTTTGAAGCTTTGCTAACTTGGGGTATGGCCACACTGGGAAAATATGTCGGAAATGCTACGGGATTGGGATGGGCTGATGTGCATTTTTTTCCTTTGACCACAGGATGTAAAAGCAACTGGGGATCAGTCTAGAAGTCCCCCCTGTCCCTCTGCAATTTTTGCATTCCCTACAATGGCTTCTATAGTTTCAGCTGGTGTAAGCTTTTGAACTGATGGAGAAAAGTGTGTGCTGGCAGTGCTATGACGAGACTTCCCCTTCCTTTAAATCTTTACCGTTCCTTCTGTAAATTCGCTGCTTGGTCTCTCCTGGGCTGTTAGGGATGCTGCAGTTGAATTCCATGGTGGTTCTCCATTCAGTCAGGTTCACCTGCAGTTGACTGTAGATCCAAGCTGTGCTGTTGGTTTCATTCAACATGCTGGTGGTTACAGCATTCCTGTCAGCGGGCTGTCCATCCATTGTCCAACTGAATGTCGAACTGGGGGTTATATTCATGAGGGGCACCATGCAAGTTAGAGTGGCGCTTTTGTTCACGAAGAGCTCTTCGAAGGATGGTAACTGCATATCGATATCTCTTGTATTGTTAAGAGTCGGGACCATTCCTTTGAAAACAAAACAGAATTAGAATAGTGAACTGGTCTCAAGAAGTGCTGATCACATCTGGAGATATCTACTTATTCCCAACTCGAACCCACTGTAGGCTGAGGGACAATCTGTCACGAGACTTGCACAATATAAGTTTAAGAAATGGCAGCATGGAAGTTAGCTCCTCTAGGCTGATCAACATGCTAGAGGGATTTGTGGATAATGATCATTATGACTACTCTGCAAAGGCCCAGATGTGCTCTGTTTTCATTTAAATTGGATTTTCTGTTTACAGCTTCAGCATGCCATTTACCTGCACAATAAGATGCCCTGGAAAAATGCATGTTCTTCTTAATCAAGACATTGGTTGAACTATGGTTTACGGTGCATGTATACATTTCCAGCTTGCTCCATTCTTCTCCACTAAGGACCACACTGCAGTTCTTCTGGAACTTTCCATCCACGAGAGACACCGCCGTGGAAGAATCTGAAATGCAGCTGAGGTCACGCCCTTTGATGTTCCACCGAATGTCTATCTCTTTTGGATAGAAGTTGGTAGCAAAGCAGATAAGCGTCTGGTGTTCTTTGTTCTCTGAGTTGAGGAAGACCATCACTTGTGGGGGAGACGGTGCCAGAAAATCTGAAATGAAAGGGTTGACCTTAGGTTGCAAATCTAAACCCCCTGAATGTAGAGGCCCATTCTTCCATTTATTATTATTTTTGCCCAACAATGGAGCTGACAAATGATTTCAAGCTTTTGGCAAACAGCTGTAAACACTTTATTTCAAAGTGAAGACTGTTACTCTCCATTAGACTTTCCCCCCATCCACAAATTGCAAGATGTATTCACTTGAGAAATGGAAGAAATATCTTTGATAATAATAAATAGAACACAAATATTCACCCCACCTCCAAATATTCTAAGACCGTCCCTCAGCACTTCTTGGTTTTATTGACATTTCCTTTGACCAACAGAAAATGCTGTCTTAGCTATCCGGTAGGTGAGCAGAAGACAAATCCGAGCACATTTGTTCTTTTCATGTGTTTTCATAACGGAAGCTCAGCAAAGCCTAGCCATGTTTGTGCTTTACTCAGTATTTTACTACATGATTAAGTTAATTAATTAATACACTGCCCACATTAATGCAATGCACTACTCTGGGAGGTTAACAAACTTCACTCAAAGGAGTGAATTGTCTCCACTGAAGAGGTCAGAGGGGAGGCAAGGTGGCATGAACACCCCCTTTGTGGTTTATTATTCTGCTGGTTGACTTAAACAGGCATTGCTCTACCAGAGCATCTTGAGCAACGGATATATGAACACTTATTTACTCTGAGGTCTTCTTCGAAGTGGCTCAAAAATGCCTTCAGTATGCACCAGTCTGCAGAGGGAGACAGGCAGCTAAAGTTGAGTAGATGTTTCACTGGGCCTAAGGATCAAGCTAGACATAAAGAAGGATGTCCATTCCCTAGAGCAGTGGTCCCTAACCATGGGCCTCCAAGGGTTCTTGGACTTCAACTCCCAGAAATCCTGGCCAGCAGAGGTAGTGGTGAGGGCTTGTGGGAGCTGTAGTCCAAGAAATCATGGAGGCCCAAGGTTGGGTACCACTGCCCTACAGTTAACCTATTTCCCTCTGATAATGGGAGCTCCTCAGATATAACATGCCTCAGAGATAAGACTTGCAAATTGAGCCCATATTTACTCCCCAGTGACCAAACACAAAACAAATCACACCAAAGCACCTATATGGGGAAGAAAATTGGGTGCTATGGACAGACAGATGTCTTTCACCGTTGGAAGGTGCACCTCTCCTAAAAACATGGCCGAATCCTGTACACTCTCTACAGTTGTGCCCCCCTTAGGAGGTCCACTTACCAAAGGAAACATTTTCACTGGCAATGATTTCTGTATCAGAGGAGGAATGGTAGACCACACAGCTGTAACGGCCACCCTTCCCTCCTGCTTCCTCTCTGCCCAATTTCAGGATGCTGTAAGTCTTGAATAAATTCCTGGTGGCCGCGGTCACAACCCCATTCTCATACAGTGTCTCGTTTAGGGGTACACCATCCTTCCTCCATGAGATGCTAATTTCTCTTGGGAAGAAACCGATCACATCACAGACAAAGATCAGGGCGGTGCTGTTTTCAAGGGAGACGCCGAGGGAGGCTCGAGCAAGGGTGATGGAAGGCTTCTCAGGGGCTGAATCGAAAGAAGAAGAAGCGAGACTGCAGGTGAAAACGTCTTATTTAGAAAAAGAATAAGGAACAAACACAAAAAGTGGAGACAAGAGGGAAGGAGAAATCACTTGGAGAGCTCGGCCACCTCCAAGCATCTATGGTGCCAGACCTCTCTACTCACCCTCGGTTTCCTTCTTGACTTCCACTGCTTGGATGACGTCTTCATAGCAACCACCGGCTACTTTGCAGGTGAAGGTGGTGCCTTTCTTCCACTGTGCCAAAGAGACTGGGTGAGAACTGGTCACGTTGGGACCTTCAATGGCATTGGGTTGGGCCATGTTGTCCGGGACATCAGCGCTAGGCTGGCCATCCACCTGCCATGTGATCTTTGTGTTTTTGAGGTTCAAACCAATGGCCGTGCAGGTGACTTTGGCTGTCTTCTCGAGAAGGTCTCTGTAAGCCGGCTTGGTGACGGAGACGGTAGGTTGTTGCCTTAAACCGTAGCAGGCTGGGGAGGAGGTAGAGAGATCCAGTGCAGGAATCCAAATCAAAGCAGATCTGACAGAGGGTTGTCCAGTTTTCTCTTGAATGTCTCCAGCATTGGAGCACTCATCCCCTTTCAATGTAATTGGTTCCATTGTCGTACTGCTCTAACAGTTAAGACACTTGTCCTGATATTAAGCCAAAATCTGGCTTTCTGGACCTTGAGTCCATTATTACATGTCCTGCACTCTGGGATGATCGAGTACAGATCCTGATCCTCCTCTGCATGACAATCTTTCAAGTGTTTAGAAAGTGCAACCCTATCTTCCCTCAGTCTTCTTTTTTCAAGGCTAAAGATGCCCAGTTCTTTCCATCTTTCCTCCCAGGGCTTGGTTTCCAGTTCGCTGACCATCCTTCTTACCCTCCTCTTAACTTCTTCCATTTTGTCGGATTGCAGGCAGAGGATCAAGAGTGGACAAGAATGGCTGAGAGCCGGAATACTTCCACTTATCAGTGGGTGTAGATCCTACCATGAGATGATACTTTTTTGTAAAATATTTAGATTAAAAATTGAGGGTTGTCTTATACATGGAAGTAAGGAGGGAGAAGGGATCAAAGCGCTTTGATCCCTGCTTTCCCCCTCCAATTTCTTAGCAGATATGCAGGGGGAAAGCAGGAATCAAAGCGGTTTGATGATTCTTGCTTTTCCCCTATCTTGCGAGGAAAGTGGAGGGGGAAAGCAGGAATCATCAAAGCGCTTTGAGGATTCCTGCATTCACCCTCTACTTTCCTTGCAAAAAATGCAAGAAAGTGGCGGGGGAAAGAAAGTGGAGGGGGAATGCACTTTCTTGTGAGGTAGAAAGTGCATTCTTTGATCCTTGCCTTCTCCCTCCACATTCTTGTGAAGAAAGAAAGTTTAGGTTAGAAAAGTGGGGGATGTTATACTGTACATAGAAAATGTGGTAACTTCAAAGGTAACTTCTCCCCCTAATGTTTGATTGCAAGGTCAAATGCCATTCTGTTTTCTTTATCATGGATCTTCAGCTAATGGGCCCTCTTGAAGATGGCTCAAAACACCTTCCATTTGTATGGGCCGGCAGAAGCAAAGGACAGATTGGGGCCTAGATTTGAGCAGATGTTTCGCGAGGCCTAAGGATCATGCTAGATGTGAAGAGGGATGCCTGCACCATAGAGTAAACCGCTGACCCTCCCAGAATGGAAGGGGGATCAGATTTTCAGCTTAAATCCATGTTTACTTCCCGGTGATCAATCACAAAACAAAACATACCAAAAGCAACTTATATGGGGAGGAAAAAGGGTTGCTATGGACAGACAGATGTCTTTCACCATTGGAAGGTGCGTCTCTCCTAAAAACATGGCCGAATCCTGTACCCTCTCTACTCTACTTCCCCTCTTAGGAGGTCCACTTACCAAAGGAAACATTTTCACTGGCAATGATTTCTGTATCAGAGGAGGAATGGTAGACCACACAGCTGTAACGGCCACCCTTCCCTCCTGCTTCCTCTCTGCCCAATTTCAGGATGCTGTAAGTCTTGAATAAATTCCTGGTGGCCGCGGTCACAACCCCATTCTCATACAGTGTCTCGTTTAGGGGTACACCATCCTTCCTCCATGAGATGCTAATTTCTCTTGGGAAGAAACCGATCACATCACAGACAAGGATCAGGGCGGTGCTATTTTCAAGGGAGACGCCGAGAGAGGCTCGAGCAAGGGTGATGGAAGGCTTCTCAGGGGCTGAATCAAAAGAAGAAGAAGCGAGACTGCAGGTGAAAACGTCTTATTTAGAAAAAGAATAAGGAACAAACGCAAAAAGTGGAGACAAGAGGGAAGGAGAAATCACTTGGAGACCTCGGCCACCTCCAAGCATCTATGGTGCCAGACCTCTCTACTCACCCTCGGTTTCCTTCTTGACTTCCACTGCTTGGATGACGTCTTCATAGCAACCACCGGCTACTTTGCAGGTGAAGGTGGTGCCTTTCTTCCACTGTGCCAAAGAGACTGGGTGAGAACTGGTCACGTTGGGACCTTCAATGGCATTGGGTTGGGCCATGTTGTCCGGGACATCAGCGCTAGGCTGGCCATCCACCTGCCATGTGATCTTTGTGTTTTTGAGGTTCAAACCAATGGCCGTGCAGGTGACTTTGGCTGTCTTCTCGAGAAGGTCTCTGTAAGCCGGCTTGGTGACGGAGACGGTAGGTTGTTGCCTTAAACCGTAGCAGGCTGGGGAGGAGGTAGAGAGAGATCAACATTGAAACTCTACCATATTCCTTCAAATTTAGAAATAAATGTTTTGGCTATACTTGAATGCTATGTTGGTTCTATAGCTGTGCTGCTTTAAGAGTTAGGAAGATTTCCCTGAAATTCAGACTAAATCCGGCTTCCTGTAACTGGAACCCAGAATTACATGTCCTGCACTCTGGGATGATCGAGTACAGATCCTGATCCTCCTCTTCATGATAATCTTTCAAGTATTTGGAAAGTGCAACCCTATCTTCCCTCAGTCTTCTTTTTTCAAGGCTAAAGATGCCCAGTTCTTTCAGTCTTTCCTCCCAGGGCTTGGTTTCCAGTTCGCTGACCATCCTTCTTACCCTCCTCTGAACTTCTTCCACTTTGTTGGCATCCTTCTTAACCCATAGCCCAGAATTGGACACACTGCTCTAGATGAGGCCTAACCAGTGCCAAATAGAGGGGAACTAGTGCCTCTCATGTTAGGCAGACTATCCTTCTGTTAATACAACCTACAATAGCATTTGCCTGTTCTGCAGCCACATCACACCGTTGGCTCATATTCGGCTTGTGATCTACAACAATTTCAAAATCCTGCTCACACGTAGCATCACTGAGTCAAATATTTCCTACCTTGCAACTGTGCATTTGATTTTCCTACCCCCCCCCAGTTGTAGAACTTTGCAGTTCTCCCCATTAAATTCGCTTCCGTTGTTTTCAGCTCAGCACGTGGGCCTCTCAAGATCTTTTTTGAATATTGTTCCTGTCTTCCGAGGGGCTTGCTAATCCACCCCATTTTGTGTCACCTGCAAATCTGAGAAGCATTCTGTGCACCCCCTCATCTGAGTCAATAATACAAATATGGAAGAATGCTGGGCCCAGTACTGAGCCTTGGGGTAACCCACTTATTACCTCCTCCCAGTTGGAGAAGGAGCCTTTGATAAGCACTGTTTGGCATGGTTCTGTAATCAACAGTGTATCCACCTGATAATTGTGCTATCCCCACTCCCAGTTAGCTTGCCAATCAGAATCTTTTGTTGAAAGCTTTGCTCGAAACCACTGAGCTTCGTGGCACAGTGGCTAAACTGCTGTACTGCAGCCAAAACTGTGCTCACGACCTGGGGTTCAAATCCCAGGTAGCTGGCTCAAGGTTGACTCAGCCTTCTATCCTTCCGAGGTCAATAAAATGAGTACCCAGCTTGCTGGGGCAGGGCAAGGTGTAGCCTGCATAACTAACTTGTAAACCGCCCAGAGAGTGCTTGGGGTGGTATATAAGCAGCACACTTTGCTTTTTATCTTTTTTGTGCCCAGCTCTTACCTGTGCACTTGCTGGTGGTGTACATGGTTACATTCTGGTTGCTTCGCTGGGGCGTCACTTTACACGTGTACTCGTCTCCTTTATCCCAGCTTGCTTTGCTGATCTCCTGGCGAGCAAAGCCAATGTGTCCATTCTCTTTGTCTCCTTTTTCCGTCAGTATCACCTGGACTTGCTTTTGTTCCATCTTTCCGTTCTTCAACCACTGCACATTGGCTTTTCCAGGACCGAGACTATGAAGGAGACAGACCAGTTCCAAGGTGGTCTCTGTGGTGTGTTCATTGCAGTTGGGAGAAATGATCTGACCTTGGATCGGTTTGGCCTCTGTCAAGTTGCAGGCTGAGGATCAACCACATTTTTCCATATATAAGACTATACTTTTGTCTAAAACCTTTAGAGAAAAATTGAGGGTCATCTTATACATGGAAGGAGGGGGAGGGATCAAAGCGCTTTGATTCCTGCTTTCCCCCTCCACTTCTTGCAAGGAAGCATTTTCCTCACAAGAAAGTGGAGGGGGAAAGCAGGAATCATCAAAGCACTTTGATTCCTGCTTTCCCCCACTACTTTCTTGTGAGGAAAGTGCAAGAAAGTGGAGGGGGAAAGAAAGTGGAGGGGGAATGCACTTTCCTCACAAGAAAGTGGAGGGTGAAAGCAGGAATCAAAGCACTTTGATCCTTGCCTTCTCCCTCCACTTTCTTGTGAAGAAAGAAATTTTGGGTTAGAAAGATGTGTTTGTGTGTATTACACATGGAAAATGTGGTAACTTCAATGGTAACTTCTCCCCTTAATGTCTGATTCCAAGGTCAAATGCCATTCTGTTTTCTTTATCATGGATCTTCAGCTAATGGGACTTGGCTGCATCTAGGTTTCACATGACCGTTTTGCCCAGTCAAGACTAAGGGGTGAAGTGCATCAGCTTACCTTTGTAGTCAATGATTGCGGAAGGAGGTTCTCCTCGCTGTGGATCAGTTGAGAGCTTTAGAATACATTTGTAACGGGTTTTTACAAATTCAGAAAAGGGGACTGTGAGCTGGCTGGTGCTTAATTGTTCCGTTCCGTGGCTGATTGGTGGAAAGGATGTTTTCTTATGGCCGTTAGGTTCCCATTGGATCTCTGACTGTGTGGGATAAGATATGCTAAGGAGGCAGGCAAAGGTTATGCTTTCCTTGGGCTCTGTGCCGTGGCCGTCACAGCAGGACAGGAGAGGGAACAGAGTAGGAGACACTGGGCTGATATCTGTAGCAAAGGAAAAAAAAAGATGGGGGTAGTGGAAAAACCAGCAGAAGAGACAAGATATATTGGCCAAAATCTCCTTGCAGAACTTAGGGGAAATGATGCCACCAGCAGTGGTAGAACCTCTGCTTTGATTCCTTGTTGCTTTGATTTCATCTCATTGTGCATGAGTTGTGCATGACCTGTAATTGAAGAAGGGATTCTTTACTTAGCAGCTATCTGCTACTGCTAGGCTGGCAGAAGCTACGCAACAGGATTTTGGCCATTACGTTCCCACTAATTTAGAACACAGGAGACCTAAGAGGCTTGCAACAGGATTTTGGCCATTACATTCCCACTACCGTAATTTAGAACACAGGAGACCTAAGAGGCTATTTATGGAAACTTCTTCTCTTCTCCCTGCCATGCTTCCCTAGGAGATATGATGATGACTATATTCACCATAAGGATCATCATCATCATCATCATCATCATCATGATGGCTGGGTAGACAGCAGCACATGTAATTTTATATGCATAAGAGTTAATTGTGGTTCAGTGTGAAATCCTAATTACTTTCCATTTCTCTCTTTTTTTGCAGCACACTTTCGACTTAGTTGCCTTATTCCCAAACATCACAGAAGTTATCAGCTTCATTGCTCTGTTTCCCATGACTATTTCCCTCCATAAAGAACATTTACCTGTTGAGGAAATCACACTCTTCTGTTGCCAGAAGTTAGGTCACCAGATGTGAGGTTTGAGTTCTGACACTCAGGGGTTTGACTGCATTCTCTAGTTGTCAAACTTTGGCCACAACACCTCAGGTTATGGGATGCCTCTTGCATCTGGCAAATCTGATCTGGTAGGGATTCCTTCTGACATACTGCAAAAAGCCCAGATATCAACCGGATCTCTCTCCCCCCGCCCCACTTTTCTGGCCATTGAGTTCATCAGTCTGTCTCTAGATGGTCTGACAGTCAAACACATCACATTGTGCAATTCTCGCTAAAGGGTCTTCCCCCATGACATCACCAGGTAGATACCCAGTTTATGAAATCACAAGGGCATGCCTCAAATTACAGGAAATTTCAGGAGACAGGATGCCACAGATTTGGCAATCCTTTTTTTTGCCACCTAATCCTTGTGTGTTTTGAAGGACTTTGGATCATGTCCTACCTAGGTTGTCCTTCCAGCAGTCATAAATTGTTTGCCCCCTCTGAATTGTGCCCTAGCATTGCTGTGAATTAATATTGGGTGTGTGTTGGAACACTTCCTGGTTCCTCAGTGCTGAACCTTCCACAAAAATAATACGGATCATAGGAAGTCGAGCATGCTCTCTAAGTTTCTGATCTTCAGAAAAACCCAGAAACAAATTTCTAAGGAACTTCAGTGCTTTTAAGGATCCAATATGAAAACGAGCACTTAATTTGAATCAGAGCCATAATCCGGGAAGGGGTGATTTCTCCTGAGTTGACACAGTGTGCTGAAGTTTAAAGGGAGCAAACATTTTCTCATTGGTATTTTTGCTTGTGGAAGGGCCTAGATCCTCCAGCCAACTCAAACATGTATACCTTGTCCGACGGCTTCTCCTCTGGCAGAAGGAGATACCAGAAAGTCAGGCTCAGCACAATACTAATATGGCCACTGTGTGCTCACATCTAAGCATTCCCCCATATTCCCTGTCCTGTCTCTGCGTTGGCCAATCTCACTTGACCCAAGCTTAGCTAACTGAACAGTGAAAGCCTGGGTGCCAAAATGGCTGGTTCTGATGACTCCCCACTGATTCAATGAACCTCATTTAGAGTGACTTACTATGCCAAGCAACAGGATTTGGGCCAAATGCTGTTATAGACGTAACTTAATGAGGGAGAACTTCATTCTTTTTGCAGGAGAACTGTAACTTCTCACTTAGTTTTATGGCTAGTTTTACAAACGTTGGTGAAGTACTGCTTTGGGATGCCTTGGAATTACAGAGGGAACTAATTACTTCAGAATGTAACTTCCTAGGTTTTGCTAATGAATGCTCTTCCCAACTTCCCAAGTAAGGGGTTAATGCGAAGCACTAACATTCTTGCAGTGTCTTGTGATGTACTGAAATGTATTACTCCTTGTGTATCACTTTTGCTTATTCCTCAAATAAACTGCTACCTTAATTTTTTCATCTTTAAATTGTAATGACAGGAAGTAAGCAGGAATAAAAATAGCCGTTGACAAGGAAGGCATTTTGTTAATAAAGAATATATATTTATTGGAGTATTGCATGGCAATCACAGTAAAATTTACAGACATTCCAGTCGGTACACATGTGCAATAATCCTTTGGCTACTGCGTTTGAAGCAAAAAGTGCAATATTTTCTTTATGCTTTTAGACTACTTGGAAAGCTATAGGTGAAATAAAACATGGCTCCTGAAGAGACACCAAAGTACGTCCACACATAAGGGAGTGGAGCAAAATGGCACAATGGATCTACATGTAAACAGCTGGCCATAATCTATTTCCAGTCCAAATGGAACCCGATACAGAGCAAGAATATACATCATCAATCCTTCCCCATTCCCGAAGTGCAAGAAAGTGAAAGAATGCATCTTCCTTCAGGCAAGTCATGGTCAGGAGAATCTTCCGCTTCTATTTGACCTAGAATTGAGAAAAGAAGAATTAATATCCTCACAAGGAAGGCACGTTATATCGCTACCACCTTCTCTGTGCCTTCTCCATCAACCTGTACTCACCCATTGCAAGATCACAGAATGTTGGGCTAGTTAAGTGAGGAGGGGCAGATGATGGGAAAAGGGTACAGTCGAAAAAGTTGGATGGAGCAATTGGAGAAATGAAGTCAGAAGAAGCTGAGAGACGATGGAAAAAGAGCCGTTCTATAGTTAAGGCAAAGAGAAAGAACACAGGAGAGAGATGAAAGAAGCGCTAAAGAAGAGGGAAAACAAGACTTAAGGAAAGATGAAGAAGACGAGTTATAGAATCACCCGCAGTGGAATGGATAGACTGTGCTAAGTAATAATACTGTATAACATTTCAATATAATATAATAACGTTTATAATAACTGTATTATTATAATTGTATTATTAAGAATAAAATAATTTTATTCTTATAAATAAAATAATAATATTCAGAAAAGATTGCCTGCTCCTTTTGTGTCTTGGTCTATACCAGTAAGAGTAGCCTGGTAGCCAGATGTGTGGTATAGAAGACAGACAGACAGACAGACAGACAGACAGACAGACAGACAGACAGACAGACAGACAGACAGACTCATAGATAGATAGATAGACAGACAGACAGACAGACAGACAGATAGATAGATAGATAGATAGATAGATAGATAGATAGATAGATAGATAGATAGATAGATAGATAGATAGATAGATAGATAGATAGATAGATAATCACTGGTACTTTTTATCTTCTCGAATTTCTTAGTTTGGCTGCCCTGCAACAAGTGAAAGGGCATTCAAAATCTATTTATGAACCTGGACATTTCAATTCAGAGCCCCCTTCCCCATTCCATGTCATCTTACCTTGATGACTGTGACTGTGGCACTGTAGAAAAGGCTCATGAGGAAGAGGATGATGAAGGTGGAGAGGACTGATGTGATGCTTTGGAGTTCTTCATCATCAGTGGTGTCTACGACCCCATCTAGGTAAGCTTTGGATAATACATGGACGTCAGCTTTTTCTGGAGTTGATGCAATCCCAGGATAGGCAGATGGGACGGAAGGGAACACAAAGGAGGTGGGGGCTTGGAAAATGAGAAAGGAACAGGACAGAGGTACTTCAGTAGACGATGGAGAATCCTACTCCCCTCCCCATTAGGCAACAATCAAGCCTTGGCGATAGGTACCAAGAGATATGCGAAGATAGGGAGAGACACAGACGAGGGATTAAGTTAAAGCCATGGACTGGTGGCAGATGATCACGTTTCTTAACACTGTCCCCATGAAGGAACAAAAACACTGCATTTTCCAGAGAGAGAAAGAGTGCACAGTGCTAGGATTCTTCCTGCAACAGTACAATTATTGGGTCACATCATGAGCAGGCAAGACTCAGTAGGAAAGGTAATGATACTAGGAAAAGTAGAAAAAACAGAAAAAAGTAGAAAAAAAGATGAAAAGAGCTTGAGAAGGATTGAGCCAAGTGAAAGAAGAGTTGCTTCTACTTTTCAAGATCTGTTAATGACAGGATCTTTAGGACTTTATGAAGCCACTCGGGCACTGTAAGTTGGGACTGTCTTGACGGCTCATAACAACCACACAATCATGTCTACGAATGGCTTGGAGATGACCCGAGACACATCAGAATAATTCTGAACCTGGGATATGAATGAAGGTTTCAGACATGTATGGATTCTTTAGCAAAATTGCAGGGAACATCTTATTTCATTAAGGGAGGAAAGCTGTAAATAGTTTAGCACCTCCTCATTTGGTTGGTTTGACAACATGGTGGAGCTCTGGTCTATCTTTGATGTGCTGTTGGCTGGAAGCCCTGGGCTCATGTTGTTGAAACTATCGTTCTTTAGATCATTTCATGAATTCCTTTAAGAAATTTCTGCTTGGGTTTATGGATTTTTAAGCTGCAGAGTTATACGTTATGGCATGAACTAAATTTTGGAAGCAAGCTTCATAAACTATGAGTGCAATGCACCTCACAGAGAGGGACAAAGGAGATGTCTCATCCTTGGAATGCAATGATTTTGGGTGGGAGTTCGTGTGTGTGTGTGTGTGTGTGTGTGTGTGTGTGTGTGTGTGTGTGAGAGAGAGAGAGAGGAAGAGAGAGAGAGAGAGAGAGAGAGAGAGAGAGAGAGAGAGAGAGAGTGTTTTGGATTTCATTTGATATTTTCCACTCTGGAATTCCATCAACCATTGATGTAGTCAACACTTTTGAGACTACAAAGAGTTTATGATTAATTTTTCTTTTGCTGGCTTGAATCCTATGTCACACTGGGATTCCAGAGTTCACACATCCCACAGAAATACCTGAAAACTAGTTCCCAGGCCTCTGGCACATGTTCTT